TATATTAATTACATTTTGATACTTTTTGTTTTGATACCAGGGATTGAACTTGGGTCCTTGCACTTGGAAGGCAGGCAGCAGAACCACTGAGCTAAATCCCTGGCCCCTATATTAATTACATTTTGAAACGACCTTTTGATATATTGGGCTAAGTATTATTAAATTTATTTGGCTTGTTTGTTTTTAATTTTTAAAAGTGTGGTTACTAGAAGATTCACAAATTTGTTTTTGGGTACCGGGCATCGAACTCAGGACCTTGGATTTGTGAGGCAAGTGTGGTGCCACTGAGCTAGATCCCGGGCCCAAGATTCATAATTTTAAAGAAAAGATTCACAATTACTCATTTGCCTTGCGTTTTGTTTCTGTTGGACAGTGCACTTTAGAAAGTAGAGCAGTGTCAGCAAATGTAATTATCTAACTTGAGTCTCACTCATTACAGCTCTTAAATACCACTCAGTGGAGGTAGTAATTCAGCAGTTGGCTTCTAAGCTTCACTGGCCTACTTTGTACCAAGGGCTCCAGGGTTCAGAAACCCTCCACTGTGGCTGTCACCACCAGGTGCTGGGGGTAAGGTACAGTTACTTGATTCTTCTGTTGAAAAATCACAGCATCCTGCATTGCTTGTTGGGTTCCTGTTTCAGTGTTGAGCCAGGTCAGAACTTTTTTGAGCCTTTGTGGACTAAATACTCTTGTAGGTCCTTTGGATGCCACAGCCAGTCAAATTTCACCCCTGGCCGTGCGGAGGAGCTTAGTGACCGAGCTTACGATCCGGCATTCAGCTGGCAGTCCTAGGAGTACAGAGAAGATCAGATAGGGCAGAAAGGGTAGTCAGAAAAGACTGCAGCTGTGGGCTTCTCTCTGTGTGGCAATCTGCTGCACGAGGCAGCGGAGGATGGGACCTAGGCATGTGAACAGCCCTGTGTGGGAGACAGGCCTGCCTCTGTCTTTCCCATCCAAGTACCTCAGCTCTGTTCGTGTAGGTGAGGTGCTTAACCCAAGCAGGCCTAGGCTTGATGGGGTTTTGCTGGTCTGCCACAAGGTTGAAATACTTGACTTTCTTTGGTTTGTCTTTTCCAGTCTTGTTTGTATTTATAGAAATACAAACATGAATAAAACAATGAAGAAAGCAAATGAATAACTTGTGTTTTATTGGAGGACCAGTCAGTTTGGGAAGCTCCCCAGTGTTGTGTAAGTGTTTTTGGTGACTGACGCCAAACAGCTCAGGTTACACTGTGTGAGCTCTGTTGGGGTTGCGGGACAATAAGTGACACAGAATGCAACTGACACTTACATAACCGTGACTTCAGGGGACAGGATTAAACTGTGACCGAACCTCCTAATCCCAGGAGGAAGATACTAGAACACAGCTGTTTAATTTTTCTGTCATGGTTGACTTGAAAATCAGGAGCATCTTTCTCTCAAACTCCTCTTTTGTCCTCAGAACTTCTTCCCCTTTTCTTTGTTGCCAAGTTCATGTACGGGTCATGTTTTAGAATAGAAGCGCTCGGAGGTCTCCGGACAACTGTTTCCAGGTAAATCTGTCTGTGCTCCCTTTGCCAATTTCTGGAAGCTCCGTGTTAAACTCCCTCTTCTGGCGGGTTAAATTCATTGCAAATTCTTCATCTCTGCTTTGCCTCCCACCAGAATTTCCAGATTTAGTAATAAATAAAGGATTGTTTTTATTCTGCCTACGAGGAGAACTGAACTAACTATAAAGCAGGAGGATCATAGTAAGTTTAAGGCCAGCCTGGGCTACACTGGAGACTCTCAGAAGGGGTGGGGGGGGTGTCTGGGCTAATGCATGGAGGTGATTGGCCTGGGGCAGTGCAGTGCCAGGAGTCTTTAGAAGCTGCTTGTATCATGTACGTGTTCCTTCCTGTGTGGTGGAGTGCTTGTACTGTGGCGAGGTGAGAGCCACAGTCACTTTCCTTTCACTTTTGAATCCTTTGCTTTTTACTTGTGGAGTTTGGATTTGAAATCTGAACACTTAGTAGAACAGCAAATAGAGTCAGAAGCTGATCTTAATTGATTTATACCCTCAGATCTGGGAAGGGGTTAAATCATTTGTTCAAGATCATCAAGCTGGGACAGAATCCTACTGTCTAATTTTCCAGTCTAGCTTTCATTTCTTACATTCTTTTATTTAGTTTTTTTTGAGCCATGACATTTTAAAAATAAGGGGGGTGTTTAACAAATTGAGTAAGATTTGAGCTCAGCCTGGGTGACTTAGTGACACAGGGAGACCCTGTGTAAAAAAATAAAAAATAAGCTGGGTGCCGTGGTACTCATGCCTGTAATTATGACATTCTAGGAGGTTCAGGAATAAGATTAAGAAAAAGAAACCTCAAAAAGTCAAAAAAAATTATTATTTGACCATAATTTATACCATATGTATTTTGGGGAACTGCTTGTTTTAAGGAAATTCTTGGTTCTGTGAATTTTTTTCTTTTTTCTTTCTGGTACCAGGGATCGAACTCAGGACCTCTTGCTTGCAAGGCAGGCGCAGTGTCGCTGAGCTAAATCCACGGCCCTTTGTTGGTTTTTGTTTGTTTGTTTTTTTTTGAGACATGGTCTTGCTGTGTAGTTCTGGCTGTCCTGAACTAACTATGTAGCCCAGGCTGGCCTTGAATTCACGGCAGTCCTCCTGCCACAGCGTCCTGAGTGCTCAGATTATAGGCATACACTACCACGCCCAGTGATTCTGTAAATTTAAGCTCGTTTTGGTACTGGGGATCAAACTCAACCTTGTGCTTGTGAAACAGGCACAGTGCCACTGAGCTAAATCCACGGCCCTAAAACATTTTTTTGTGTGTCAGGGATCACATTGTGCTTATCCATTCATATGTTGATGGACCCTTAGATTTTTTTCAACCTTTTGGCTATTGTGAAAAATACTTCTAGGAACACGAATTTACATGAAGATAGGGTCTTCAATTCTTTAATTTGTTTGAATATATGCTCAGAAATGGAATTGCAGGATATAGTAATTTTTTTTTTTTTTTTTTAGACAGGGTCTCACTATGTAGCTCATGCTGGCCTTGCAGCAATCCTCTTGCCTCAGCCTCCTGAGTGCTGGGGTGACAGGCATGCACCGTCATGTGCAGCTTCATATAGTAATCCTAATATTTATTTTTTGGTACCAGGGATCAAACTCAGGACCTTGTGCTTGCAAGGCAGGCACAGGGCTACTGAGCTAAATCCCTGGCCCTTTACCTTTTTTTAAAGACAGGAATTCCCTTTGTATTTCAGGCTGGCCTTGAACTCACAGTGATACTCCTACATCAGCCTCCTAAGTGCTGTGCTGGGATTATAGATGTGTACCACCACACTCATTTTCTATTTTTAATCTTTGAGGTACCACTATATTGTTTTCCACAGCAACCTTGTCATTACAATTGATTTCTTTTAGCATTTTACTTAGCCAAGATGATTCCAAAGCTCTAAGCCAAGTTCTAATCTCTTTGCAGCTGCATCAGATAAGCTAGCCTTGTAACCATTAGCCCCACTAATTTTGGTATCTAAACTGATACAAGTTTATTTTCAGTTCTGGAAAAATCCAGGGTAAGTATTTTCTGATGAGGAGAGCAGGAGAGGTGACTCAGGGCTACATCCTGCGACTGCACCGTCCTCAGTGCTCGCGTTTGGGGTACTGGGAGCTGCTGAGAGGACAGAGCTGGGGGTGCAGGAAGGCGAAGCTGAGCAGCGGTCCTGCTCATAGGCTTCTCTCCCGTTGCTGGTGAACATAGTCGCATGTTTGGACACTTTGCCGAAGGTGCTGGGAGGAAGGAAAGGAATAGGCTTGGTGACAGCAGTCTCTCCCTGGTTCCCACTGCTGCTGCTTTATCATGCGATAGTCACATCCTGGACAGAAAGTAGTGCAGCAGTCTCTTTGCTGCCTCTCTCTGTTGAAGCCACTGTACTGTAGCTCAGGAATAAGTGGATTTTTCCGTCCTGCTTATTAATTTCTTAATTTTATTTATTAAATAAAAATGAGGAAATACGAAGTAGATATAAAAGTCACCAATAATCCTATCCCCTGGAGACAGTTATAATTACTCATTAGTACTTTTCTGCTTAAGAATTTTAACCACTTAGAAATAACAGTAAAATTTCAACATTCTGTACTTGCTAAACTCTAGTATTCATGCCGGTAAAACAACAAGCAGTTGGCCCCTTTTACCCGTTCTTAGCAGAGAGGCACTGTTCTAGAACTGTGGTGAGTCCTTATGCTTTTGGCATTTTCAGTATGAATTTTTTCTTTCTTTTTTTGTACCAGGGATTGAACCCAGGGCCTTTGCACTAAGCTTTATCCACAGCTCTTTACATTTTCTTTTAAACTTTGAGATCGAGTCTCAGCAAGTCACTAACTGCCTGGGTTGGGCTTGAATTTGCTATCCTCCTGCCTCAGCCTCCCAGAGTGGTGGGATTACAGGCATTTGCCACCAGCCCTGGCTTCAGTATGAATTTCTTACTTACACATCTTAATTCTCACTTCTCTTAGTACATAAATAAATGTTGGGGCCGGTGGTCTTAGCAATATGTTAGAAACAGCAAGGCAAGGGAAACATTTTATATTATGGTTTATTTCCTACTCAGTTTTTAGAATTCTTCCATACAGCCTGATTTTCCAGAAAGGGCAGGGGGACGTCAAGCTGAACCAAAGTAACAGATTGCAAATTTGAGGTCTGTGTGTGTACCTTATGCCTGTTGAGCTGACTCTTAGGTGTGTGTGCTTTTCTCTGCTCACCTGCATTGCTTCTGCTGCTGACATCAGATGGGAAGATGCTGTTTTAGGAGAAGTTGTATTCCTTGAGTTGTCAGCTCCAGGAGCTGGAATACAGAGACCTTCTCATTTCTGTTGATTGGTTCCTTGTTCTGGGATTTTCATGCCAGGTGAGCCCTCTGACACTAAGCTGCGTCCCCAGCCTGCTGCTTGCTCTCTGCAGCTCGGAAGCAGAACACAGCCAGAACTCCTGTTTGTGAGGTCGTTGGCATGGTGTGACCTCACGGCCAGGAGGCTCAGTATGTTGCCCAGTGTCTCGCAGGATGTGAGCTGAGCCCTGGCCCAATTCCACAGACATCATGAGGTACCAGTTCATCTCATATCGCTAGAGTCCTGCTTCCTTGGATAATATGTAAAGACTTCAAGGTCCAACCCTTGTGTCTTACTGAAAGCGGTTATATAATGATAAAATCACTGTGCTATCCTCAGGCAAGACATTTAAAAGCAGATACTCAGCCAAGCATGATGGTGTGTACCTTTAATCCCAACACTCAGGAGGCTGAACCAGAGGATTGCTGTGAGTTTGAGGCCAACCTGAACTACATAGCAAGACCCTGCCTCAAAAAGCAAACCAACCAACAGAAATTCAGTAGTTGAGCAGAAAACATTTTTACTGTGTTAGTGGATGTGTGGGTAGTCAGTACTTTATTTGCTATCAGTTTTTCCTGCAAATACATTTTCTATGAAAATGTATTTGCTGTGCTAGGAAATAGTTATTTTAATTATTAGATTTGGTTATCAGTAGTATAAATTGTTTATGACCCAAGACCTAAATACAGGTGTATCACAGTTGAGGCTTTTTTTTTTTTAATTAGTGTTGTTTTCCTTTTTGTGTCTTTTAGTTGGAGTTGGGAGAAAAGGTATTGGGGCCAAGAATGGTTGCATCCACCTGTAATCCCACTACTTAGGAGACTGAGCCAGAAGGTTCTCAAATTTGAGGCCAACTTGGGCAATTTAGTGAGAATTTGTCTCAGAATAAAAATAAAAAGGGGCTGGGGATGTAGCTCAGTGTGAAGCCCAGGGTTTAATCTCTCCCCCACAAAAAAAAAAAATTCCTAAGCTGTACACATAGAATGTAAAAACCTGAAATTGTCATTTTGGATGTTTTTTGGTTTTTTTTTTTTGGTACTGGGGATCGAACTCAGGTCCTTGTGCTTCTGAGGTAGGCAGTGGAACCACTGAGCTAAATCCCTGGCCTCTCTGAAGTGAATTTTTGACCAGGAGATACTATTTAAGTGGTTTAGATTTTTTTTTTTTAACTGGGGATTGAACTCAGGACCCTGAGCTTTTGAGGCTCTGACAGCACCGCTGAGCTAAATCTCCTGGCTTAGATTAATTCTTGTTGTTTTTTGGATAGGGTCTCTGTACTCCAGAATGGCCTTGAACTCACTGTGTATGTAGCTCAGTCTGGCCTCGAACTCACAGCAGTCCTGTCTCAGCCTCTGGGGCACTAGGATTACAGGCATGAGTCACCATCCATGCCTGGCTTCAGATCAGTTTTTATTGTTAAAAACATTTTTGTGGTGTCAGCACGTACCCTTATGTGAGTAGAAAAGAACGGACTCTTCGGCTTTCGGATTCCCCGCTGTGCTGTGGGACCCCTTTAGTAGAAGGGAGGGGAGGTTATGAGCTGGTTCTGTGGCACTGAATGTGAGCAGGGAGGAGCAAGGCCAGGGTGCTTGGAATCGTGCTTCCCTAGGGCCACGGGACTAGCACCTGATCCTTGTTCTTTGTAAGAAGTGTTGGGTAGCACTAACTTTATCTCTGAATTTTATTCTGTATTTTCATTTTCCCTTCAAAGTTCTGATAACTAACCCTCTCTTTTCTACTATAAGAAATGTTTTCACCTGGGTGTCGTGGTGCATGCTTATAATCCGGCTGCTCCATAGGCTAAAGCAGGAGGATTGCTGGGAGTTTGAGGTCAGCCTGGACTACAGAGCAAGATCCTGTCACAGAACAACAATAACAAATAAGCAAAAAAAATGAAACACTTTTTCTTTTTCTTCTTTACATTTCCAAGAGGTTAGGTCTTTTGTTGTTATTTCTTCTCTGAAATAAGTATCTTGCCCCTTTACCTTTGTTATTTATATTAGTTATGAATTAAATCACAAAATTGTGATATTAATTCAGCTGAAAATTTTTGCTTTTTTTGGACTTGGTTTTGTCTCATAAAATAAACCTGCAGGTCACAGAAAAAAGCAAAAACACAACCCAACAAACTGCTCCTCTAGTGTTTAACAACTAAGCTTCCTGTTTGGGGAGGAAGTATAAATCTTTTTCAGGAGAAAGAAGAGGGATTGCACAGATAAGCAACCTGTCTTGGAGCCCTGTTCCCTGGTGTGAGTTGGTGCCTGCTCCCTACTTTTTTTATTTGAGACAGTAAAACCAAAATGTAACTTTTTAATTGTTCAGAGTTAACCTTAAGATAATTTTTTTTCTCACTGCTAGGATGGAACTCAGGACCTCACATGTGCTAGGCAAGTACTCTATTGTTGAGCTATATCCTGAGCCCTAAAGATAAACATTTTACAAATAGTTACTGGCTTAAAAAGATAACTATAATTATGACAGTCAGTGGTGTAAATACAAGACTCTGGGGTTATTTGTATAGGCATGTGTGGCAGTATTGCTTGAAAGGTGAGATTATGAAGCAATGTGCATTTTAAAAATACATTTAATAGCTAGGTGTGGTGGCGCACACCTGTTATCCCAGCACTCAGGAGGCCGAGGTAGGAGGATTTTGAGTTTGTGCCAGCCTGGGCTGTGTAGTGAGTTCAAGGCCAGGCCAGTGTGGACTACATAGCGAGATTCTGTCTCAACAACAATAAAAATTAAAATTCTTACACATTCTCATTAATTTTTCATTTTGCAAAATGTTCACTTACTATAGTGAAAAATTTTGGAACTCTTGGAATTAACCTGTGAGCTGAGCCTTGGATACATTTTTGCATATTCTTATATTTTTGAGGTACTGGTATTTTGCTCAGATTTTTAGAAACTGTTTTAGAGCCACATCCAGTTAAAAACATTGAAAGATTGAGCTGGTCACTACTATCTTGGGTCACCAGTATGATAAAGTCCCATTTAAAAAAGAAAAAGAAAAATATTTTAAATTTATTTACCTTTTTTTCCCCCCAGTACCAGAGATTGAACTCAGGCAGGCTTGCCAGGCAGTCGTGGCACCACTCAGATACATCACCAGCCCATTTATTGTTCTTTTTTTTTTTTTTTTTTTTTTTTAAACAGGGTCTCGCTATGTAGTTCAGGCCAGGCTTGAACTCTAACTAGGTAGCTCAGGTTGGCCTCAAACTTGCAGTGATCCTTCTGCCTCAGCCTCTCAAGTGCTAGGATTACAGGTGTGCACCACCATTCCTTGCTAAAATACTATTTTAAAACTATTTCTGGGGTTGGGACTTAACTCAGTGGCATCATGCGTGCCTTACAAGTGCAAGGTCCTGAGTTCAACCCCTGGTAGTCCCCTTTAAAAAAACAACTATGAAGTTACTTCTAAAAGAGGAATTAAAAAACATTTTGGCCAGCCAATTTTGGTAGCTTATGCCTGTAATCCTAGGACTTGGGAGGCTGAGGCAAGAGGGTCACAAGTTCATGTCCTACCTGGGCAGTGTGGCAAGACCCTGTCTCAAAGGATACCCAGATGGGGCTGTTTCCTGGTGGTGTCAGTCCAGGATCTCCCACTCCAAAGTCGGGGGGAGGGTGGAGCCACTTCCTAGACAGTTCTGGGTCTGTGTTTTCACCCCATGTCCCTGGGCTGGGCCTGTGTGTGGAGGGCACCCAAGTCTGTTTTCTGGACCTGTTTATAAACAAGGTATGTGGCTTGCAAGGTGATGCTTCCACTAGTGAGTACACTGATGTGGTAGAGGACAGGTGGTTTGCCTAAGGTCACTGAGGTTCCAGGCTGGTTTGCAGTTCTCACCTCCCACCCCCTTCTGCTTTTTCAAGATAGTTTCCCTACAGAGGCCAGGCTGGCTTTGAACTCCAGGGATCCTCCGGCCTAGCTTCCCCAGTGCTGGGATTACAGGCGTGCGCCACCACGCCTGGCCTCAAAATAAAGAATTGCTGCAGATGTAGTTAAGGGGTAGGGTATCCTTTGGTTCAGTCCCCATTACCATAAAACAAAAACAAAACATTTGGCCAGAGCATTATTATTGAAATACCTAGGAGAGCACCCCTGGAAAGAGGAGGTTTTGGCATAGTCATGTCCAGTAGAACTTTTTGTCATAGCAGAGATGCTCCTGTGTCATACTGTGGCCACTATACACTTGAATGTGAGTGAGGAGTTAAAGATTTGTTAACTTACTTTTTTCTTATTTTAAAAACTTTAAAAGAAACATAATGTATATAAATCCATATAAGTATACAGTTTTATGAGGAATGCAAAGCCAACACAATCATGTAAATACCATGTAAAGAAGTCAAACATTGCCAGGATCCCTCTTCATTGTAACAGACTTTTGAAATTTAACCATTATCATAAGAACATATGGTATAAATTAATAATATATTATAACCGTATATATAAAATATGGTATGATCATATTTTATGTTGAGATACTTTGTTATTCAAGGGGTGATTACAATATATGGCAAATGTTTAAATTAAAAATGTATCACAAAAAGAAAGAAACACTGTCACCTGCCCCAAAACACCTTCCCACACTTTGAACACATTTGACCATCATTCTTGTTTTGTTTGTTTTTTTGAGACAGGGTCTCACTACTGACCAGGAACTCACTGTGTAACCCAGGCTGGTCTTGAACTCACAGTGATCCTCCTGCCTCAGCCTCCTGAGTGCTGGGATTACAGGCGTGCAACACCACACCTGGCTGCCCCATCATTCCTTCCACTTTCTTTTTAACTTGTTTTTTGAGAAAAGATCTCAGGGTGCAGTCCAGGCTTGCCTTGAACTTGTGACCCTCCTGCCCCAGCTTCCTGAGTGTTAAGATTACAGGCAAGTGCCATGTGCCACCACACCTGCCGGAATTTTATTTTATCATATTTATTTATTTATTTATTTTGAGACAGGGTCTCACTATGTAGTTGAGACTGACCTGGATCTCACTGTGTAGCCCAGGCTGGTCTCGAACTCACAGCAATCCTCCTGCCTCAGCCTCCTGAGTGCTGGGATTACAGGCATGCGCCACCACACCTGGCCTGCCTGAATTTTAAATTTGGGAAGAATTTAAAGTTGTTTAAAAACAGCACACCTTTTGTTTTGTTTTGTTTTGCTTTTTGAGACACCGGTCTAACTAGCCCAGGCTGGCCTTGAGCTCAAGATCCTCCTG